TTGCAATAATGCCACAAAAAAATAGCTTTCGAACAAAATCGAGATCTTCCTCTGGAGGATAAGCGCATTAAGATGCTACGTGTTCTCGACTTTGATACATGGAATGGAAAGATATACGCTAAAAGTAGACAATATAGAGAAGTTGGAAGCATTTGAGATGTGGTGCTATAGAGGAATTTTGAAAATACCTGGATCTAACGAGTTACAAATGCAAAAATGTTACAAAAGGATTGCAAGGTGATAAAGAACATCAACACAAGAAAGCTGGAATATTTAGGTCACATTAACGAAGGCGCGAAAAGCTTAAAATGCAATCTAAAATTAAGGGTAAAAGATACATAGGTAGAAAAAGAATTTCATGGCTGAAAAACTTAAGAGAGTGGTATAGTTGCTACTCAATAGATCTTTTCAGAGCAGCCGCCAATAAAGTACGGATAGCTGTGATGATGGCCAAACTTCGATAGGAGAAGGAACTTCGACAAGAATAGGATATAAATTTTGTTCTAATAGTAACATTGTACTACAAAAAATTGACAATTTATCTAGAAATGTCAATATAGAAGTCAATTATATTCTGTGCAAAATAAGAAATTGTATAGAGGTGAACTAAAATCACTATGATCTACTGTTGTTGTTGTTTGTTTGTGTTTAAATGACTGCGGACACTAAATCCATTCGCCAATCTTACAATTTGAGGTGTAGTGTGTGTGTGTGTGTGTGTAGAGTAATTGTCTTGATACTTAGCAAAGTCGACGTCATTGTCTTTGCTAAGAGACGCTAATTGTATCCGAACGTCTGCGGTCCCTCCGGTGTGTACCGATCACACAAGGATAGAAATTATTTTCATTTATTAATTTTTTTAATAAACGAAAATTTCCACCCAGGTTGGATTCGAACTCACGACCTTTAGATTTAAAGGCAGGCGCTCTTACCACTGAGCCACAGAGGGGGTTGGTCTACTGTTCGATCGCATACTTTTTACATTTAAAATTTTCTGGAATTACGTCATCGAGGTTTTAAAAGCAAGTAGTGGTGAGTACCAAATGCAATCGATTTTGACTTTAACAAAATACCACAAATTATCAACGTTAAAAATGAATAAAGTAAGTACATTATCTTGATAAAATGACAGGGAATTTACAATACATAAATAGATGAGGGCCATCTGCCTAGGAACAATAGGTAAAAGCTGATAAACGGACAGAATTAGAAAGTTTAAAACATCACTAATTAGATCATATTTCAAAACAAAGTAAATAAGTATATTTTAATGTTAATTCTTTTCAAACTAAGATTGTAAAATTAAAATTTTAGGAAAAAAATATTTATTATTTCTTGTTCTCAAGAAGTACTTTCATTATTGACCATATCGAAACATTTTATTATTAAAAGTCGAGAAGAATTTTCTGAGGAAACGTACATATTTATATAAAAGTGCTATAAAAATGTTCCACTGCAAAATGATGCTAGCAAATTACCCTTTGTTTTAGGTCACTGATATCCATCAATATAATATCAATATTCTTGCAGTTTTTTTTGCCAAATTTTTGTGCGCTCTACGTCTTTCAGAGGCAATTTAACGAAAGATATATTATTATTTATTTCATCGTTTCTTTCAAAACATCCGGCGTAATCACATTTATGCGTTACACAGGCCATTTTATCTAAAATGTGAGAGTTTCTTTTTATAAAATTTCGCTATAACTTGTCACAACACTTAAGACAGATAATACACTTATAGGGTAAGTTCGGCCCTGACACCACTCCTATCTCCTCGCAAGTCAGAGAGAGAATGAGAATCTCGATACGGTTTTCGAGTAACGCCATCTAGTTTTTGATACGTCTTTCGGTTACCACGAGGTGAGCTATCTTGGTAGTAGTTTATAATCAATGGTAAATTTAAAGAAATTTTAAGTCAATATTTGGGCAGAAATTTTGGATAATAATAGAGCCAGTATTATTTCCAAACAGTTTAAATGGTAAAAATTATTTACAGTTTCTGCAAAACCTGTTACCAGAGTACTTAGACGAGGTCGATCTCGCAGTCAGGAAAAATATATGATTGTTACAGGATGGCGCTCCAGTGCATTACCATGATGAAATAAGAGAATATCTTTTCGATCAGTAACATGGACGTTGGATTGAAAGGGGCCCTGATGCGCCTATTTGTTAACCACCCAGAGGTGCAGATCTTAACCCAATTGACTTTTGCTTCTGGAGTTTTATAAAAGGGTACGTATATTCCGTACCAATTATGAATGAACAACAATTAAGAAATAGAACCATTGAAGCTGCAACTTGATTTCGTCAGAAGCCCATGATTTTTCAAAATATTCGATTTTCCTTTTTAAAACGGTGTCGAATGTGTATTTAAGAAAATAAAGGTCATTTTGAACATTTGTAAAATTTTCCACATATTTGTGTAACGACAATATTTTGCTTACCTCAGGATAATAACATGAGGGGTAGAAGATTAGGCAAACAAAATAATCGAAACAAGTGCGAACGACAATCAGTTGGTTGTTGGAGAGCTGGGTCGTGGATAAGTTGAAATATGGGGGTTGGATGGGGTATCTACTAAAATGAAGACAAAGGGATACTTACATAAATCTCCTGGGCAATTGATATAACAAACAAATCAAAAAATATACTGGGAACACCTCAAGGAATTTAATATAGGGCGCCACTTGAAGGATCCTAGTTTACTGAAGGAAAGAAAAAATTCTTCTTCCCTATATATCTAAAAATCATAAAAAGGTTTAGGAGATTTTTTCTAAATAAAAATAAAAAATAGGTTAGAGAAACAAATCAAACGTTTATTATTGTCTCAAACAGTTTTAAAAAATACAGCTTATACAAAAGGCATACTATATAAAAATAGTTGTCAAATACAAATAAAGAAACAAGTTATCTGTTTACAAAGAGGTTACAAAAACCTTCGAAATGGTTCCTAGTAAATAATGTGGAAAAATTAGTTTAAAATTTTATGGATATCCTTTTGTGAAAAATAAAATTTAATCTTTACTATAAAATCAAAATATCTTTTACAACAGATTCAAAATCAAACTGTCATACGTCAAAACAAACATTTTTAAGACAGGATAAAGTTTGATAAAATTATGACTGATGACAGTTTAAACCACGCCCTAATATAATATTTATTTTAATTACAATTTTTCTTTTAAATAATTTATAAAAAAGCAAATTTTGTCTTTTTAAAAGAAAATGTCTATTTTTACTTTAAAAATTAATAACGTAAATTTTACCTCAGTTCACACATGTTAACTTAAACTTTTGAACAACTGGCTAATAGGTACCTGTGGGGTATCTAACTGAAACATCATCAACGGAAAACTTTCTTGGAGGCTGAAGCTGGCACACTGGCACATTCAAATCAAAACTGCTCCAATATCATTATACGTGAGGTGAAGAGGCATCTTGAAAAGGAATTGGATTTCTCAAAAAAAACGAAAAGAAAGCAGGAACGAAACTTGTTCACTTCTCAAACATTATAAATCTTCAGCAAAATCAAAACAGTGGTTAGTGGTCACTCTTTCAAATACGACATATTACATAGAGTGAAAATTCCACCATTTTTGGAGATTTATTGCCGAGTTACCACATCACAATCAAACGACCTTTCCCTTCGAGCAATTCTTCATCCTGCCATCACTTGACTTTCTCGATCTCAATCTGCCGGATAGATACCGCCTCTCTTTTCCCCGCACAAACTTTGCTATCTTGTCAAATCATCAAATTCTTCACTCAAACTCGTCCAAACTTCCGGCGTTATTGCGCTTTAGAAAAAAGAATACCAGGCTTGCAATATTTTTCTGGGAACGTTGAAGTTAAAAAGCCATAAATTGTTTTCCTTAGCAAATACGTCTTTATTTATTGAAGAATTATTGCGTATTTAAAAATCTCTACAGACAACACATTTCTAGTATACCAGGTGCGTACTATGACAAATATAGAATCGAATTTATATTATTATTTAGACATTAAATATAAAACGCTACATTTGTAAATGGTTAAATAAGATTATAGATACTGATAATTTTGCAACATATTAAAAAAGAAGCAGCATTTCGATAAAAACTGGCTTATCAAAAAAGTACTAAGTGGCAAAAAAGTTTTAAAAACATCGTGTTTTAAGCCTAGCTTGATTTTTTTGTTCCATTAACCTCCGACAATTTCTGTCATACCATCTTATTTGACTAGGTTCTTTGGTTTCCCCCACTACTTCTTCGCAGCTCTTATACCAGCTTCTTTTAAAACTCTTCACTTCGATATTTCTGACCTAATTTACATTTACTTTATTACATTATTCAATTATGTTTTCGATTTGTGTTTAATATCTTGCTGTTTTTTCATCATTAGAGGCAAATATATCTTAAGCATATTTGATATTTTTTCACCTTTCTCTGTTTCCTTGGTGTTAATTTTTTTTATATTTAATTAGCACAAGGTTGTGATCGAAATTGCTATTAGCCCCTCTGTGACTTCTCACATCGGAAATGTCTGAAGCATGTCTTGCTTTGTTTTCATATCAGGAGAAAACCATGTTTCATTGTGGATATTTCTGTGTGGAATTTTTTTTGCTTCAGAAACACTGTCAGAAATGTACTTGCCAATCCCGCATCAATCCCTGCGCCAATCCTCACTCTAACCCCCACGTCAACCTCCATCCAAAAATCGTCATAATTGACACTATAAATGAACCGTTATCTGTTCCTAGTGGCAGTAATGCGTTGGTTAGTGATCAATGTAGTAGTGTCTGGGGTTTGGGAGATTGAGACTCGGTTTTGGAAGAAGACATTAAAGAGGATGTCGAAAGATCGTCGTAATGATAATCGACGCGGTTCAACACGGAAGACTGTCGAGTTTAATATTAATTCTTGTAATAGTATTAATCTTAGCTCTAGATTTAATTGTACTAACCGCGGTAATCTACATTTATATTTTTAGACCTTATTTATCAGTAATTATTATATTTTTAGAAAAAAGTCAACAGACATTATTCTTCGCCTCTTGAAGAAAAGATACGAAAAGAAATATTCATCAATGTTTTACACAGAATCAAAAAACACAACGCCAGATATGAAAAGGGGTTAGAGTCTAGGCCCATGGGCGTTGACGATTATAGAGATTGGTTAGGAAGACCACCACACGGCGGCGTGTGGTTGCCAGATTTGCATTGAATATAAAAAGGATGTAAAAATAGTAAATAAAAAAATTTAAAAACAATATAAATATCTATATTAATAAAAATCAGTGACCGAAATGTTTGTATTATTTGTCAAATATAGGAAAAGGTTTCAGAATCTTAGCTGTCTGCGCAGAGAACAGAGAGAGCGCGCATTCGGAGAGTAAAAGAGGGAAGACGTAAACGCTTGGTTTGGTGATAAGGTAGTCTTCCTCAAAAGTTATTTTATTTTAATTTATTATAACAACTCGAGTCAATAGGTAGGTATCATTAGGAAGGTAATGAATATAATGGGTTTTTAAATGCCAGAATTTAAATACTAAGTAACATTTGGATATAATACAAATTATACAAATACTTAGTATGGAGTCATTAGCAAGAAATATTTTGTTGAATTTGACGTAATCCATTAATCCCGCCCTTCCGGAAGAGATCTATGGAGGAGTATCACCGAGCCGCAAGCCCTTATCTCTTGCCTTACTGCTCCACCATAGGCCGATCAGACACCAGCATATTCTAGTCTAAGCCGCAGATTCATTTAGCCTAGCCCGCTTGGCTATCTGACCGACAAATAGATACAGATGGAAAATAAAACATTATCACCGAAGAAGTTTTACATGCAATCAAAGACGCAAAGAACAACAAGGTACCCGGCAAAAATCTAATAACAGCCGAACGTTTTAAACACCTAAGTGATAAGGCTCTCAGGAAATTAACATACCTCTGCAACATTATATATGTACATGGCATAATACCGCATGACTGGCTAACATCCACATATACAGCTCTTCCTAAAAACAAAAAGCAAGGAAATGTGAAGATCCTCGAACTGTATCCCGAATGAGTCATGCCGCTAAGATTTTTATGCGAATAATTTATAACCGAATTCACAATAAGTATGAAGAATACCTGAGTCGTTCTCAATATGGTTTTAGAAAGGGTACAGGTACTAGAGAAGCAATTATGGGATTGACAGTGATGGCATAAAGGTATCTTGAGGTTCAAAAACGGCTGTATGTGTGCTTTGTCGATTATAGAAAGGCCTTCGAACGCATCAAACACGGACAATAAATTGAGGTGCTAAAAGTAGGATTAGACGGACAAGACATAGCTATAATAAGTAATACATACTAGAACCACACAGGATGCGTTCGAATAGAGAACGGAAACACCAAGTACATCACCATAGAACGAGAAGTGCGTCAAGGGTGCATTTTGTCCCCCCATATAATTAGACCTTATCTTGAAGATCGCCCTGAAGTGCCAGAATCAATGGAATCATCATTAACAATATAAGATATGTCGATCACACTGTAGTGTTAGCAGAATCTTAAGAATAAGCTGGACCAGCAGGACTACGAATGAAGGAGTACTGAGAATGATGAACACATGCTCTCATCTGGTCAATACTATCAAAATTGAAGGCAAGATTGAAGGTAAAATGGGCATAGGATGAAAGAAAAAATCTGGGCTACGAAACATCCGAGATTGGACCCAAACAAGAGGACATGAATTAATTCATCAAGTTCAGGACAAAGAGAAATTTGCCATATTGATCGCCAACCTCAAAAGAGAAGGCACGCAGAGAAGAGGAGGATAGAACATACGGAATACAAAAAAAAGGTGGCGTATACTGAATGACCTACTATCTACTACTATAATACCTACAACCTACTAATAAAATCGACAATGATCGAATACAAGAAAATACACAAACAAACTTGGGTCTTCAACGACGGCGTCACAAGAAATCAGATCGATCATGTTCTAGTAGATGCCAGGAGGAGTAGTAGCTGTCTAGACGTAAGAAGCCTAAGAGGAGCTGATGCAGACACGGCTCATTTTCTGGTAAAAGCAAAGATAAGGACAAGAATAGCGTCCAAAAAAACATACAAAAATACACCAACACAATTATGGAATACCGAAGTTCTACGTAATAAGGAGACAGAACAGAAATTTCAAGTCTATAAAAATCGCTCTAACACAGATTATAACATAGACTCAGCTTGGAAAAATATCAAATTAGCTCTGACAAGCGTACCAGATGAAATACTAAGACACAAAAAGAAAACAACAAAAAAAATGGTTCGATGATGAATGCCTGAACTCCATAACACCAACAATTATGGCTAGAAGGAACATGCTACAAAACCCTTCGCACAACAACAATGAAATGTATAGACAAAGAAGAACAGAGACAAGAAAACTAATGAAAAGGAAGAAGAGATAGTATCAGGAACAAATAATCAGAGATATAGAAGAAAAAAAGAAAGAACAAAGAAGCGAGACAGTTATTCAAAGGAGTTTCAGATATCAAGACCGGGTACCAAGCAAGAACAGGAAACTTCTTTCAAAACGACAGTGTTCAGCTTATCACGGATGACAAGGAAATCCTAAAAACCTGAAAGGAATACTTCTATAAACTATTGAATGACCAATCTAGTAGAAATACATCAAACATAGAGGTACATACAGCTGAAATAGAAGACCAATACCCGACATACGAAGAAGTAATAGAGGCAATTAAAAAACTTAAAAATAATAAGACACGAGGGTAGCGATGGTATACCCGCAGAATGCTTAAAACATACAGAAGAAGCGTTGTACAGTTCTATATACAAGCTAATTCAAGATATTTGGCGAGAAGAAACAATGCCAGATGAATGGAAGGAAGGGGTTATTGTACCAATACACAAAAAAGGAAACAAAAAGCAATGTATTAACTACAGTGGAATAACACTCCTAAACACCACCTACAAAATCCTTGCAAACATCCTGCTAGAAAAAACCAAAACATACACAGAAGAAATCGTTAGAGATTATCAATGCGGATTTAGACTGGGCCGCTCTACTATTGACCAGATATTCACAATAAAACAGATAATGGAAAAATGCTGGGAGTTTGATCGTGAGCTTCATCAGATGTTCATAGATTTTCAACAAGCATTTGATACAGTATGCAGGGACAGACTGTGGACAGCGATGCAGGAACTTGGCTATCCAAAAAAACTAGTCAAGTTGATACGGATGTGTATATAACGGTTACGATGTAAGGTGAGAGTTGGACAACAATACTCGGAGACATTAGCTCTGGAGCACATAATCAGAAGTGCAAGAATCGAAAAACCTAATACAGTATTTCATCTAGAAGGACCAAACTTACTACTGGCATTTGCAGACGATATCGATCTTATAGGAAACACACGATTAAGGATGAAGGACACTTTCATGAGGTTCGAGAAGGAAAAACAGAAGATGGGGCTCCAAATCAACGAAAACAAGAAGAAATATATGTATATGAGCCGCAATAACCAAAGCAGGGACAGAATCGGTCAGAACATCAGCATCGATGACTTTAACTTTGAGCGCGTTAGAGAATTCAAGTATCTTGGAACAACAATAACTGAAAACAATAACGGATCACAAGAAATAAACAACAGGATTCAGGCCGGCAACAGATGTCTTTTTGCCCTCCAAAACCTTATAAAATCAAAACAACTAACACGACGTACGAAGATACAGGTCTATAAAACAATCATACGACCCGTTGTGATGTATGGAAGCGAAACATGGACAATAATAAAGGCAAACGAAGAGAGACTATGTGTTTGGGAAAGAAAAATCCTAAGGAAGATCTTTGGTCCTGTGCTGGATGAAGCATCAGGATAATATAGGATAAGAACCAACAAAGAGCTTGAAGAACTTTACCCAGACGCCAACATCATAAAAGAAATGTCCAGAAGACTCCAATGGTCAGGACACCTCAGAAGACATTCTGACGAACGAACAGTAATACTGGTGTGGGAGGAAGTCCCAACTGGAAGGAGACCACGCGTACGCCCTCGTCTCCGGTGGCGAGATAATGTAGCAGGAGACCTACGCACTATGGGCGTGGAGAATTGGATGGAGGTTGCTTAAGACAGAAAACAGCGGAGGTATGTTGTCGAGACGACTAAAACCGACGAAGGGTTGTAACGCCACGGAGTAAGTAAGTAAGTGAGTATACTGAATGAAAACTGTAAGTCACACAAGTTGGCTGAAAATATGATTTAATAATTATATTTTCAGCCCACTCTCTAAAATTTATAGTTGGAACGTCAAAACAATTGAACAATGTTATCGATGATGAAACAATTATTGATAATAGAACTCATCAATCACACATTTTTAAATCGAATCAAAATAAAATTTATATGAAACATAAAAATTATGTTTCAATATTTTTTCGTAGTTGTGATTAATTTGCAGAATTCATTGTAGGCGCTATTATGGTTAAGTAATTCATTTTAAGGATTGTATAAATATATAGTCCAATTGAAATACATTTGTATTACTGTTAAAATTGTTGAAACAGTTAGTAGTTCAACAAAAGAAAATATGTTTAAATATTTGTTATTTTTCGTATTAGTTTCTGTCACTTTTGCTCATTTTAAATATTTGCCGGATGATGAAGAGTTTGAACTTTTTAAGGTTAGTTTAGATTTTTAATTAATATTTTAAATTTTATTGTACTTGTTTTATATATTTTACTTTTATACAACCTACTAGCTTTAATATATTTGATGATTCAATAATGATTTTTGATGACAGAGTAAAAAAGCAACAACACTTAAATCTTATCTCCAACTAGATATTTAATTCATATTTTTTTATTTATTTTTCAACTAAAGATTTGACCCCCTCTGTGGCTCAGTGGTAAGAGCGCCTACCTTTAAACCTAAAGGTCGTGAGTTCGAATCTCATCTGGGTGGAAATTTTCGTTTATTAAAAAAATTAATAAATGAAAATAATTTCTAACCTTGTGTGATCGGTACTCACCGGAGGGACCGCAGACGTTCGGATACAATTAGCGTCTCTTAGCAAAGACAATGACGTCGACTTTGCTAAGTATCAAGACAATTACTCTACACACAAAACACACACACACACACACACACACACACACACACACACTACATTAATAAACTTATCTTGATTGAGACTGGCTGAATGACAATTGTCCAGGCCAAAACACACAAAAAAAAACTAAAGATTTGCAATCTGTCCTTTTTATACAATAATCAAATTTGGTAATT